AAGAGGAGGCCAAGAGGCAGACGAGTGATGCAATCCACGGAAGCAAAGTAGAGGACATGAGGGCGGCAGGAAGGAAGGGAGGGAAAGAAAGGAAGGAGGACTTGTTGCTTATGGGGATCCAGCTCTCCAGGAATGTGCTGACGGTCATGTCCCACACAGCCAGGGGAGAGTTCTGCACTCTGAGAAACTCTGAGGAAGGTAACACCTGTTTTAGTGCACTGCAGAGCACAACCGGACAATAAAATCCCACATTATCAAAGCACAGACTTTGTGAGTCATTGAAGCTCATTTTCAGCAACACAACAGTTTTTTTTTTCAGTTGAAACTGGTACCACTCACTGCAGGCTGGAGGCCTGAATCCACCCTCACACAGCGGCAGTGAAGTTCTATTTCGGTATGAGCTACACAATGTTCAGCCCACACAGGCTCTGTGGGTATGGTACTTGGTAAGCCTGGACAAATAGTTTATTTACGAGCTTCGCGAGAGTGGGCATTTGTCCTTGAGCTGGTTTGTCTGCCGTCTGAAGTGCTAAGTGCTGTATACAGTTACAATAGATAGAACATTCACAAGGACAAGTGAAGGTGGAGGGAGAGCAGAGGCGGGTTAAGGAGGGAGGGGGGAAGCGAGAGAGCACTGGGAATAGAGATGGAGAGTCAGAGGCCATTTGGAAAGTAATTTCATCTCTGAATGCTGTATATCTTTTCATCAATGAAAGGAAAGTATTTTCCAAACCGAGCAGCCACAAGAAGAAAAACATCTCTGTTTGGTGAAATGGAGCTTATTCAAAGAATGCAGGACAGCCACCATTCATCTCTCTTTTTCGCACTATATACATCTTGTGAAGGTGAAACCTTTTTTGCAACATTCCACTCCGCAAAGAGACGTTTGAAGCAAGACTACGGCAGCGCTGAGCCATGCCGGTGGCTCCGAGAAGGCTAAGTGCTAACACTGATATTTGTCAAGTTTCTTCTTAAAAAGACCTTTGAGGAATAGCCTTAAATGCAATGCCATCCGTCGATGAACTCGGTGCATTTGTTCCGAACACTCTCAGAAAGTGCTGTGTCTGTTCAGGTAAGGTCTACAGAAATCGCTCCACTTGATCCCCTGTTACCTACATGGTACATTCAACGCCACGGCCCCTCAAGTCCAGCATTTTAGTGGATTTCAGCGGCAGTTTTTTCTTAAAAGCACCCTGGATGTCAGCCACCGCAGCTCATCTCTAAAAGCACACTCATCTTGAGCAGTTGTAAATTCTGAATAGTGCCATTAGCAAAGCTTCTAACAGTGTTTGAGGGATGTTTTCATGCACAATCTTATGTACCAAGACTATAGAAATACAAGGCTTCTAAAAGCCAGAGTGAGGAAAGGTGGTGGCTAAAGTTGACTGTCTGTGCTTAGGAGGGAAGTTTAACATCCAAGAGCAATGGTTTAAGGGGGGACCCAGGTTGAGCATATTGTAATGCAATATGCGAGGGATGATTGTGTTAAACTCTGAGCTGCAGTCTATAAACAGCCTCCACACATAGCTCACTCAGCGTTCCAGGTGTTCCAGGGCAGTGGAAATGGCACACTCCTAGGATCTGTTAGACTGATAAGGTGTGGATCAGATGAGGGATCAAGGCTGGTTTTCGTGTACTAGAGCACCAACCTCTCTAAATGCTTCCTCACCGCGGGGGTAAGTGCCACAGGTCTGCAGCTGTTTAGACCCTCTGATCCTCTTCGGGGAGAGAAATAATTGCAGCTGTCTTCGGGCACTGCAGGCTCCTGGTAAGTGACGGATAGATGTAGAAAAGCTCAGTGAGTGAGAAACTCAGAGAGAAAAAACAAAGTTAGTTTGCCATGTAGTTCGGAAGTTGAGTTTTTATCAGCCACCCATTAATTCTGCCGTCCATTTTTCATGGCATATCATTGGTTCCCCGCTTAACACTGGGCAAAAGGCAGGGTGCACGGAGGCTATCAGTCCATCACAGGGCCACACAGAAACAAACGTGGCACTCACACTCAATATTCCAGAATCACTGGCTAACAGGAAGAAAATAACATAACATGGTGGTAGGATGTTGCTCCCCCTACCACTTTAGCATTAATCAATAGCATCTTTAAGTTATGAGGGAGTTGATCCTTGCACAGTGTTTATTCTTCTCAGTTTAAAGTGACCTTCAGTTGTTGTGGAGAACAGGAGTATTCTTTTCTCTTTACCTGCCTCTTATGGGCTATTAATTAACAGGAACACATAGTAACACAACAGCACTGAAGGAACTCCAGGCAACACACAGTAAAAAGAGAGGGATGACTTGTTTTTCTCTGCCGCCCGGCTGGACCTTAATTGCACTCTGTCTCTTTGCTGACCCTGGAACCACAGTACTAGCACAGGGAGTCTTCAGAAATTTTGTGAATCATTGCTTTCCTCTATTACATTGAGGTTTTAGGGGTACTCTGGACTATCTAAACGCGGGGTGGCACCCAGCCACTTAAAAACAAAAACTGAAGGAGCAGCAGGTCCAATTCAAAGTGTCAGGATAGACTACCACAGATGTGCCTTTTATGCCATGTGTATTCTGGCAAAGCGACCTCAGCTCTGACGAGAGCGAACAAGCTTCTGCTGTGCAATGTATTTTACTTCCAATTTCTTCCTTACGCAAACACGAGTGAATATTCATGCTAATTTTCTATTGCAGCTAAAACCACTCTCCTGTATAACATAAGACCGACCAACTTTAATAAGTGTCAAAGTAGGAATGTGCTATTGGCAAAAGAAAAGTATATAAGTCTGTCAAAACACAATTGTGAATGCACCAAATATGTTTTTCAGCGAACAGAGTTCACCGAGGGGATTGGAAGGAAAAAAAACACCACAGAATACTGAGCTGGACTTTTGAGTGATTGGTCTGGCAAGTGCTTTGTGGTGATTTGGGAAAGCACAAAGAGAATGCTGCGGTTATCCTTGGACCACAACTGTTCAAACTTCCATGTAGTGTTCTGGTGTGTACCATCACTAGCTGAGTTTGTCTGCTGTGATTATAAGTCAGTCTGTTCAGGAGCAGAAGAGAGGTCCTGTAAGGACATCAACTGACTGACTTCCTATGTTGCATCCAAATTAAAGTGTTGCTACAATCCAGCACATGAACTAAGCCCGGACACGAGCATCAGCATCAAAATGGACACATTATGTCTTCTGCAGCCCTCAATTGGAACCATCCTTGGCCGTGAGTCTTGTTTATTTCTCTCTCACACAGTGCATCATTTGTCAGACTGTTTGCGCACCGTGGAATGTCATCATATCATGATATTTTTGGTTATGTGGAGGAGTTTACCATAGCAGAGCAAACACAAACCAAAGAAGGCCAAATGTTTTGTTTGCAGAGCCCATCACCTTCCAGCAAACAGTTTGCATATCATCTCTGTCACTGACAACCTGACGATGGAAGCGTACAGCTGGGCTTTAAGCATGCTATGCGCTGACAACACCCGGAAGAGCAGCTTTAAGATCTTGGACACCTTTAGGTAACATGAAATGCCCTTGATATTTTAAATCTATCCTGAAGGCAGAAAAATATAAATAAACTGCTTCTGAAACCTCCTCTGCTATTACTGATCAAGCATTTTTCTAACCATCAGCCCCTTTATCTTCCCTATTTTCATTGTGATAATGCATCCTTTCCTCCAGTCATAACCGACAAGTTATGAAATTAGATGAAAATTGAATATCTAGAGATCAATAACGTATTCTAAAACATTTTTAAGATAAGATTTTTGATCTGCTAAAATGCACCAAAAGAAATCCACATTATCATCATGTAACAGCATTATTAAATCAAACTTTTGTCTCATATCCATGACAATGAAATTCTCCTCTTTAATAATACCTATGCAAACGTTCTTATTTCCTGCAGTGCATACTTTCATTTGTCATTCACCATCAAATGAGAATCCCTTTGGGGAGAGCTATGGCTAAAATTGTCATCTAAAGATACTGCGCGTGGTAGAGGTGTATTCTAATAAAAGCCAGGTGAACATTGTGTTCCAGGTCAGACATGAAGTCTGCATGGAGTCAGTCCAGAGAGCAGTATGAGTCACCGGAACAGAGCAGAGAGCGCGCTTGTAGAATTCATTACAACGATTGCAAGGTATAAGGATTTCCTGAGAAAGAGAGAGAGACAGAGAGGGAGCTCAGCAGCTGCAAAACAGCACCCCAGTGAATCCACAAGTACATTTCCATCCACCTTTGGAATGGTATTTTGCAATCATATAATTGATATATGACGGTCTGAATATAAACAAATAAGTTCCTTTGGCTTATTGGCCAATTGCACACTGGTGAATGTATTCCCAGACAACTGCAGTTTATACTATGGGGTAACTCTATTGCATAAACTAGTTCAAAATCCAAGTAGGACTTTTACCGCAGTGCAGGTAAGATCCAAAATAAATAACTTATATGTATATGTATTTTTTTAATTTGGAAAATTCAGCTACAATAGTCGCGTGTGGAGATTTCTTAAGCGACCACAGGAAACTTTAACTCATCTACGGACTGCCTGTAAAATGGCGCCACCCTGTGGACGTCATGGGGTACTATACTGACGTGTTTCCTTATTGATGTTACCGTAACTTAAAAAAAAAAAAATCTCATTATTCATATGGCTGCCGATACCTAATTCACGCTTTGCTCCCTACGCCACAAATAATGCATTTACATAAGAATTACGACAGTGTTGCCACTTAGTTATTTTTCGCTGAGAAAAAAACAAGAAACTTGAGGCTGTCGTGGCCTACTCGAGTCACTAAAAAGGCTCGTTTTCTAATGCGCTAGCATCTCGGTAACGCGGATAACCTAATATGACTTTCATAAATCCAAAATGAGTTCGGCTGGGCCGAATTTCAATCGACGTCGTAGACAGGGGACTGACCCCAAATCAGCTGCCATGGCACCGGATGTCACTGGTGCGTACAGATAGGCACCATCCATAGTAGCGAATTCTGCAGGAAGTATCTTCCGCTGAAAACGGCATTTGTGAAGGGCTGCCATTTTACCGAGTTTACGGTAAGAAAACCTGCTTCTTCTTCTGTCGTCGTCTGGCTGTCATACGTCAGTTGTATCCCCTATGGAAAGTACTATTGATTGAGTGTATAATGCCGCGTACATGTACATTCGTTGGCTGGTTGCTTCTTAACTTCAGCTAACCTAGCTTGTATGCTATTGTTAGCATTAATGGACTCTGATAATAGAAAGACAACTACTGTCTAAAAGTATATATCACTACAATGTGGTGTTTTTTAAGAGTGGGGATTTATTTTTTATAAAACACAGCCTTTTACACGGTTAATTTAGTGGTTGTAAAACTCGTAAAGCGCGTTAGTCAAGTTCAATATTAGCTCCCCCCCTCCTTTGGACAAGTTAGCCCACTATACGTGTATGATTCAGTGGAAAACTGTTTTTTTAGACCCATGTAGCGCAGCCATATACATTTTATATGTGAACGGTAAATCAATGTTTGTGAGCAGCTATAGTTGGGTTAACGTCAAACAATCTGATAAAAACGGATCCAAGCCATTTCATGTGGACATCATGTACTATGGTCACACTCCAAATATTACAAAGAATGTAAACGTGTCAATACACACCTGTTCAGAGGGAACAAATCTTAACCAGATAAGAGATTTCGATGGATTACTTCATTTCTATAGAGACATACTTAGGTACTTCAGGTTCCACTTTGCAGGATGCATTTTTATACCTTTAACTCTCCATTTTGTTTTTTAGTGCATGATGGGGATCAAAGTGGTTCAGCTCACATCAAATTCACATCATGAAAACATTCTGGCTTCTCTGCATGATCTGAGGCTGCAAGGACAAATGTGTGATGTCACAGTGCAGGTGGACTACCAGGGCAGTTTGCAAGAATTTCAGGCCCACCAGGTGATACTGGCAGCATCCAGTGGCTACTTCAAAAAGATTTTCCTGTGTGAGGATGCAACCCAGGATAAATTAATGCTGTCAAACATGAAATTTGATGATTTCTCCAAGTTTTTGGAATTTGTTTACACTGGTAAGGTTGAGGTGCCCAGGAACAAGATCTGCGATGTCCAAGCAATGGCCCAAATTTTGGACTGTGAGGGTCTCTCAGAGGTCTGTGGTAACGCTTTGAGTGCTGGAGTTCTACAAAAGCCCAGAGGGAAAACGTCTGCGTCAAAGGTTGAAGCTCCTGTTGAACTACATGGTGCAAAGGAAGAGAAGTCCAAAGAGAAGAAAACTCTCAAAAGCTTATTTTGTAAGCGACAGCTCTCTTCCGTGACCTCTGACAAGGAAGTCGTTAAAAAAAAACTCATGGTGCAACGGACCCTGAATGAAACGAGACGAGGAAAAAGGCTGAAGCTGAAGCTGGCAGGCCATAAAGTGCTTCAGAGGCAATGGTATTCTCCAAAAGAGGCTCCCAGCAGTGAGAGTCAAGCTGGCAACATTGCAACAGAGGATTGTGAGAACAGGACAGAGGACGAGGCCCCGCCGGAAAAGGAAAAAGATAAAGGGGAGGAGGGGAGGTCTTTGCTCGGGAAGCTCTCCTCCGATGTGGATGACTGGGACTGTGAGGAGGTTTCTCAAGACTCTTTGCTCTTACTGGAGGAGAAAGAGGACGAGGCAGAGGAGGGTCAGTCAGCGGGGAAATTGAAAAAAATATCAAAGGCCCAGTTCCAGTGCGACAAATGCCAGCGGACTTTCCACTACGAGAGAAGCTACTTGAAGCACATCAGGTAAGATGATAGTGCTCATAGGTTTTCTGCAATGTACCATAGTGCTTTAACACGTATCTCTTTGCTAGTACGTACCATGGAGTGAAAGCTGACGTCATCTACCGCTGCGAGACCTGCAATCAGAACTTTGCGAACCGCAGCAACCTGAAGATCCACGAAAAGCACGTTCACAGTAACGAGAGGCTCTTTGTCTGCGAGTCCTGCTCAAAGACCTTCAAACGAAAGAAGGACGTTGTCCGGCATCAGCGGCAGGTGGGAAGCACCGGAGTTTAACGGGCCTCCTTGTATCTCGACTGCAAATATTTGGGATTTCCCCCACTTGAAATGTTCCCTCTTCACCTCTCAGGTGCACGAGCGAAACATGCAACATGTTTGTCCTTCGTGCGGGAAGGCGCTCAGCTCCAAAGCGGCCCTGCTGATGCACGAGAGGACGCACACGGGCACCAAGCCGTACGAGTGTGGCGACTGCGGGGCCAGATTTACTCAAAACTCTGCCCTCAAGATGCACCGCAGGTACAGAGTTCATATGGAGCTGTTTATTAAGGAATACGTGTGCTTTATTTCTTATTTTTTGGGTGTACGTAAAATAATAGCTGCTACTAACAGGTGTCAATACATGTTTAGGACGCACACGGGAGAGAAGCCATTTGCATGTGATGAATGTGACGCTCGCTTCACTCAGAAACACATGTTGGCATATCACAAGAGGTCACACTCAGGTAAGACCATCATTTACCACAAACAGGTTCCAGCGTTTTATCAAATGAATGCGTTACACTATACATAATTTACTTTTGTTTTGTTTTTTAAGGAGAGAAACCATTTATGTGTGAGGCCTGCGGGAAAAGCTTTGCATCCAAGGAGTACCTGAGACACCACTCAAACATCCACACCGGGTCCAGGCCGTACCACTGCGAGCAGTGTGGTCGAGGCTTCGCCCAGAGGAACTCTCTCAACCAGCATCTAAAAATACACACAGGTAGTTTCTTTGGTTATTTCTACACACTCAGGTACCATTTATTACTTTGTTTTTTTGCTTGATACAAGTGACTTTTCTTAATGCATGTCCAGTGTTTTTGATTTTCTAAAGGCATAAAAAAAGTGGTTATTTTTTAAAGAATTTGTAAAAAATGGGTTTATTCAAAGAGTTTTCCACATATTTGATCAATAGACTTCATGAGATTTCTTACTACTGACTTTTTTCATGTTACAACGTGAATATATTTTTTATATTTAACAGAATGCATAAACATGGAACTTTGCCTGCAACTCTCATCCTGTTCTAATATTCACTACTATCTCGTCCCTTTTATCACTCCCGATCCTTCAGTGGTTTATTTTCAGTTACTCTTTTACATCATGTTTTTGTAGAGAATTTTTAGCACCAGCTTCCTCTTAAGTGGACTTCTGTGCATTTAAGGCATAATAACCAAAAAATGGCTTTTAAATTGCTGTCCACTGCAGTGACTGCGATGCATGAAAGGGTTAATGCGTGCTCTCTTCAGGTGAACGCCCATACAGCTGCAAAGAATGTGACAAACAGTTCACGCAGCTCAACGCGCTCCAAAGGCACCAGCGTATTCACACCGGGGAGAGGCCCTACATGTGCAGCCTCTGTAAACGCACCTTTGCGGACAAGTCCACCCTGCGCAGGCACACCATGGTGAGCATTTTACTCCCAGATGAGTTCCGTCCATCGTCTGATTCAAAGCGCTGCACACCTTCAGAAAGACCCTGTGAAAATGACATCCGTGTGTTCAACCTTTCAGATTCACGACTCGGACGCCCCGTGGAAGACCTACCTGGTGGTGCTGGAGGGAAACGTGGAGGAGAAGAAGCCCAGGTTTTCCAACAAGGAGAAGCCAGAGACAGCCGCCTCGGCAGAGAGAAAGATCCCCGACGCCACCGGGTCCAGCGTCCCCGAAACCGCCGCCGCCACAGCTGGCTCTGGTGTGGAAGCTGCAAAAATCCCCACCGAGTCCATCGTGGTTCCAGCAGAGCCGGTCACTCTGCCCTCTGACTGGACCGGCCACGGCGCCATTGCGCTGGTCAGCCACGGCGCTCTGGGCAGCATCACCGTCTTTCACACAGAGGTCCCACCGGGGACGCAGATGCAGCCAGTAGTGGCCACAAACGGACTGGGAGCAAACCTCATCTCCTTGGACGGCTCGACCATCCGCGTCCCCTTTTCCATACCAGTGTCTGTGAGTTGCCCCGTTACTGCGTGCTCCCAGGCCTCCTCCACCTCCCTGTCCGTGTCCACCCTCTCAGCCCCGGTCACCGACACCTTGTTAGCATCGGTCTCGGACATCCCAGTGGTCTCTACATCATCTGTGCTGGAAGCCGCTGCCTCCCAGACTATTCTGGCTCCAGCTCCAGAGAACAAAACAGTGTCTGAGGCCGACGCTCTACAGCCGGACATACAGACTGTGATTATTGAAGACAAGGTTTGCGAGAGCCAACCGAACACACATTGCCCAAAATGACAGGCAACACAGCCCCAAACTTTGTAGAACACACAGGTAGAACTATTAGTGGCTATAAAGCAAACTCTGATCAAAATATCTGCACCCGACCATCAGTTGTTGACGGTCTATTCATTCTTGTTATTTAGCTCTGCTTGTGTAACTCTCCTCCACAGAATGAAAGGACGGGTTGCACATGTTTTGTTGCTTTGTGCAGAACACTGGAAGGTTTGTTAATGAGCACAATCTGCTTTTGTAATAAAGTGTTTTCAGGCCGAGCTTGTTAGGCCACACATGTACGGAGAAATCAGACCTTTATCCTGCGTGCAAATAATATTTAGCCTGTTGCTTTTGAATGGATTGTTTCCTTATGGTGGTCCATGAGGCGATCCCCTCATTTTCTGTTTAGGTTAACCCCCAAAAGTGGGATATTGCCTGATTGTGCGACACCTGCAGAACAAATACTGTGCAGGTAAAATATTTCCCTAAAAGGAAAAGAAAAACAAAAGAAAACCTTACCTGAAATTTCTAACATGTCTTTAATGAACACCAAATAAAAATATTAAGAAAAATCAGGCCAGATTCATGAAAGCGTCCTTACTTTCTGTAAGGATTTAAAACACCATTACCCTTGTTACTTTGCAACCAACTACTATTTAATAATAATTATAATTTTAATGGCAATTTTTATTAACCCCGTTTGAAAGGAAAATATAATAATATGTATTATGTCGTGAATTACAAATGAACCATTTTATTTTATTCTGGACAGAATAGCAGTACTGGGCGTAATACAGTTATTTTGAACAAGCTTACAGATCGGAGCCACAGTCTATTGTCATTCCGCCTGGGAGAAGCTGGGAACACAGGAGCGACTGAGTCTTTTGTAAAAACTTTGGTCTGGCTAACACGGGTGAATATACACAACACTGAACTACACACAATGACATGCTTAATAACTGCTCAAACTTCAAAGATGCATTCACAAACACAAAATGAGACTAATAATGCAGGTTACCCCGGGGTGAGGGGCTCCCAAAGCGTGCCAGTTGTTACGTCAGCACATCCTAAATGATTCAACTTAAAGATAGTAAAGTCGTGACGTGTGTATATACATATATATTTATGCAAATATTTAACAGTCTACACTTGTGCATATCGTTGCCCTTTTACGAGAGGAGTCACTTAATAAGGTAAAAGATCAAATGGAGGGCGGGAATCCCTTTTTGTGCCTCTGATAAATAATGCTGTTTAAATGACATTGATTTTATCCTTTTCTATCCCAGCAAAGACAAAATAGGAAGAATAATCCTATTGCAAAACCTGGAAACATTTAGGATTCGACCAGGGAGCAGCTGTGCAAAACCTGTGGGGTCTCTTGCCAATGCTAGCCTCGGATTTCGTGAGAACATACCGCTGAAATCTCGTAAAGGACCCATTTCAGCAGAAAAAGGGTGTGCAGCAATCCTCTGGACAGAGGTGAGGGCGTGGGGTTTACATTTGGCCTGGATCCGGATATGCCTCTAAATGGAAACGGGTGGCGGTGCTCTGGGGGCGCGGCGCTGAGCAGTGGGATGGTCGCTCCTCTGCAGATGCTATACACAGTGAGGTGAGTGTGAAGGTGTGCATCGTTTTGTGCGTGTTGTGTGAGCGCGAAAGCATGCGTGATGGAATTGTCCCTCCGTGCTGCATCCCTACCCCAACCTTCCTCTCATTTCAAATCCCCCTCGTCGCCCTGGATGGTCTTCTTGATGCGCAGCAGGAGGGTCGTGTGCCACTGATCCAGGCGGGAGATCGAGTCAAACTCCTTGACCTGCAAGCAGCGGATAATGGACACCATAAGCTGTGGAGGCACCGAGCAGCACACTCCTGTTCTCTTAACACAAAAAAAGCCTGGTTAACACAAGACTTACTGCTTCTGTGAACGCTTCACTGTTCTGCTCCTCATGAGCCTCAAGAAGTTTCTGTTGGGACAGGAAGCGTGAAGTTAATAAAAAAAATAACAATAATTTGGGGAATTTTCTGTGTATACTCCAAGCTACCTTCAACAACTTGCATTCCCTGGAATCTGAGAAGGCCGGGAACATCTCCTCGTATTTTTCCACAGCGATCTGCGGAGACACAGGGGATGTTACAATTCCACCTTAAATCCTGGGGGGGGGGGGCAGCGCAGCAGGGCTCACCTTAGCGTTCAGCTCGTCCACAATGAAGTGGCAGAGCGAGGCTTTGAAGAAATACTCCTTGGCGCTGTACTTCAGCAGCGGGTTGTCCATGGTGTTGGCTCCGACCTGGGTTAGCGTTCACACGGCGCAAATACGAATCAGAAAAGCCTGCTCGCTGGCAAACTGGGTGGGGAATGTCCAAACTGATGGAGAGTGCCCAGTACACACCTGCTCATAGATCTCGATGGCCTTCTGGTACTGCTCCAGCTGAGCACAGTACGCCCCCACCTTCAGCAGGCATTTGTTGGCAGAGCTATAAAAAAAGTACATAAAACATCAATGAACGCCAAATAATGCAAACAATAACGCAAACAATAAACCATCCTGTCACAGACCTTATTCAGTAAGCAGCGAGACATTTTTGAAGGAAGAACATCCGAATGAAATTCTTTTTAACCCCCAATTACACAAAGGTGATCCAATAAACTCTCAGAAAACTACAACCAGATTGGGATGAAGAACTACAGCAAAGTCAGAGGGAGCTCTTATTAGCTGTCCCTTCATGTGATGTGGCCCTTGCTGCTTGGAAGCAGATCTCACAGGGGAAGGTTATCATTCCAGAGTGCGGGAGGCTTTAAAGTCCAGCAGCTAGGCAGAGTTAACATTTGCCTGCAAAATGCAGAAAGACAGGTCTACTTCCATCCTATTCTGGGGGAAACAGTACCTGTTTGACTCCTCTCCTTTGTAGTAGTCTGCTGCCTGCTCATAATGTGCAATGGCCTTTACAGATGACAAAGAAGCAGACATTCCTCTCAGAAAATGTGCATAACAACTGTGACATTAAGAATTATTCGGCAGTATCAGACAACTGCGCGGTCTCTGGCAGTTTCACCTTTTCGATGTCCACCAGCTCCGACTCATAGATTTCTGCAATACTGATGTGGTGTTTGGCAGCGATGGTGAATCTTCCCTGAATGTGGGAAGAGGAGAGGAAAAATCATTATAGACTGGATCTATCCACAAACACCTCATAAGTCAATGACAGTGTGGTCTTCCATGCTCAGAGTAGAGAGGCAAGGTCAAGGATGACCCGCAGCTGTGAATCTACAGATTTTTGCATTGCAGCGTAATCCCCTCGTGTGGACATAAAAGCAAAGCCAAGAAGCACAGAGTATCTGGAGGATATGGAGAGCGGCGGCTAAATATACATCTATGGGAGAACATTTTCAGAACTCTGATGATGTGATGCGTCACAACCAGACTTCTTTTTACTAAACATCAAATGTCACATGACCACAGTTAATGCTCAGAACACGTTCTATGTGCGTCTTACCATGTCTGTGTATATATCGATGGCAGCATTTAAACACTTGATTGCCTCTTTTAGCAGCACAAAGGGAAGAGGAAGGAACAGTTAGACATCGTATTCAGCTGTCTTTTACCGCCTGGCACAGTTCTGAATACTACACCAACAGGGTGAAACTAGAATAAACTTGGTAATCATAAGAGAGAGAAATGTCATACAGTGGTGCTTCTGCGTTTTGAGCTGCAAATACTTCTGAATAAATATGGATAAAATATAAACCTTTCACAAAGTAAATAAAGAGAAACCTATAAAGTGTGTAGGAAAACACTTAACTTGGTCATCAAAGAACATGCCCAATATTATACATCATGTGTGGGAAAAGTATGCAAACCCTTAGCACATGAATATGCATTTGTAAAATCCCCTCAGGGAAACATGGTGGTGGGTCATGGTCTAGTTCTGCTAAGGCCAGACGGCCATCATGTGTGAAGTGATCCATTTTATCTACTCACGCAAAACACAACGATGAAAAAGAAAAAAGGGGCTCAAGCCAAATCTATCTGGTATAAATGTGATAAAGGTTCACTAACTTTTTCACAGAAACAACTTTAATCTGCTAAAATACCAAATGTAATAGTGACTGTTGTTTAACTGGATAGCATTATGTGCTTTTAGGAGAGGTGTGAATATCTGAGATTTTAAAAAATCTATATAATCATATAAAAACCATAACCCGTCACAACATGTCCCAGATAGTTGACCACCTCTTATTACTCAAAGCGCAGACCTTTCACAATCACATGGACAAATGGCTTGAAATATAAACTTCAAAGCAACACCGACAGATGTTGAGTGTTGTCATAATGCACAATAATTCCTCTCTTATTTCTCATTACCAGGAAAAGGCAATAGTGCTGCATTGCTTAGACAGCGTCAAGTAAGAGAACGGCGAACTTTGTTATGGTTTCAGCTAAGCTGTACACATATGCAGGAGTGTCGCCGTCTTACCGTTTGGGTCCGACTTCTTGAAAGCGTTTCCCGCATCAATGAAACCGGTGGCGCAGTCGTGCTTGTTCTGCAGCTGCATGTGGAGGCGCGCAGCCTTACAGAACGCGTTTCCAGCAGCTGGCGAGAAAAGCAAAGTGGAAAGGCAGAAACAGCTTTCAGTCTCCCTCTCCCAAAGCTGGGACTGCCGTTCCAATAGGCAGCGCGTCACCTGACAGCATCTGAGGCGTGTTGGAGGTTTTTAAGTTGGACATCGCTTGGGGAAAAAAACAATCCAGTAAAAAGCAGTTATCTCACCGCTCCAGTTCTTGGCCATCTTGAACATGTTGGCCGCTCTGCAGTACATCTCACACGCCTCCTCCACTTTGTGCCTCTGTCCTCTGAAAAAGAAACCACATACATCTGTTCAGTGGCCGTTTATTTACCATTAATTCATGTGCTTTTGCATTTTTATATCCACGTGAGGTAAATGTTGTACTTCTGTCAAACAGAACAGTGTTTTGCCACACTTTATTTCCCCTTTTCTTTATATCCTGTAACCGTGTCTGCCATCGTGCAGGTTTGACTTTATTCTCTCTACAACAAGGGGATAGGACTATACGTGCATGTTTTTGCTCGTTTTTTTCCCATTGAAGAGGACGTTTTTATGGGAAACTGGAGGTTCTGAAACAGACATTTAAGGAAAATAACTGTGCAAAAGGTAGGTTAACGTACTGTCACTTACTTGTAGGAAATATTTAAGTTCACATAATGCGGACACGGGGAAGGTGAAACCGTTTACCTGGACGCTTCAAGGCTAACGAAGGTCCGGCAGAAACTACTGGTTTGTTCACAATAAGCTAACTGACTTGCAAGAATTTTTACAGTGAATGCCAGGTATCCCCTCTTCCGCTTTCGTATCTTAATAAACTCATACAACACTTGCTAGCTTGACAAAAATAGAGGAGCTGACGCTATTTATTTATTGTTGCCTGTCCAAACAGGCTGCGTGCCAACTTTGCTGCTTACAGTTGACGGTTGCTAACTATTCTTCCGTGGTGCAGTGCTGTCTTACCCTCCAAACATCCCTCCCAAAAGGGAGCCCGAGGACTTGACTTTTTTGTCAGCATCGGCCATCAGCTGAATCGCTTCCTTCTCTTTCCCGGAGTTGTCCATTTCTTTGGTGCGTTTGGAAAGAATTTGACTTACGATGAGGAGGGAAATTACCCGCAGAGGATTCAGTTGTGTACAGTAAGGATTACAGTCGATTTAGCGTAGGCGTGACAAATTTGCGGCTTAGAGGGGCACCGCTGCATTATGGGAGTTTGAGAGCTTTACACCGAAACCACGCTTGAAGCCAAATGAGGTTGAAACTACAATTCCCAAGGAAACATCAAGATACGCTTGACTGTATTACGTAAAATCTGGTGGCCGTCTAAAACATACCTATATATCTATATAGTGTCAGTAAAAAAAAAGATAAATCAAAGTTTATATCGACAGACAGTACAAAAAATATAGCACTCAGAACTCTAAATAAGCAGGACAAAATATAGCAGTTTACGTTTTTATGCAACAGAGGGCGCTAAAACATTACATTTGAGGTCTATATTTTCAAAAATTCTAAATCAAGTTTAATTTATTTTTGTTGAATAGAGTTTAGTCTCAGGGGCATAGAACATTACTTTTCACATAATAATATAGTTATATTACTATCGATTTTTACCTTTACTCCACTAGTTCTAACAGGCGTCTTTGCAGTCTCTGTTATTATCAAGATTGATTTCTTTTCATGGCTTCATTTAATTATTTTTTATTAATTTAGAATTTAAATACTAAAGTTCATTTAAATTAATTTGAGAGTAAAGTTACTTTATATGTTAACTTTATTATTAAGAAATTAATGTTGGACTTTACCATATGTGACGGAAGTCAAACAGAAATCACACACTGAAGTCCAAAATTCTAATAAGTGAATTAGTGAAAAGAGTATATTAGCATATGTTTCAGCTTATGTTTATGTCTTTTAAACCATAGTAATGCAGTTAAACACAAAATTGTGAAACCAAATTTCACACATATCTTCTATTATGTAATAAAATAGCACACATTCTGTGCTCTAACATGTATTTCATATGTGGGACACTGGTGAACATTTTGAAATATTTGTTTTTCCTTTCTCTTTTTTGTTTTTTTTTCCACATAGACACTCCCCAACGGATTAGCTGACAGCTGACGTTGTAAATAAACAGACAAATCTGTGATCATGAATTGGTTCCAAGGTTCACTCTGACACTGCAACTTTGATAAGAAATCGATATTGTCATGGCCCATCACTTTCACTGAAGGTTGACTGAGCTGGCTTGGACTAATGATTTTGTAATTGCCGTTACATAATCATAGCTGTAGTGGCAGATGATGTGCATTGTCAAAGACACAACTGATAGAGTGAGCTAACCTCATGCAACCACATTTTTTCTGACTCTTTTTGCTTAAAAAAAAAAGCTAGTTTCCTAATGTATTCATCAATTAATGACACTAAATGTGTCATATTTACTTAATTATTTTTTCAAATAGAAGCGTTTGAAAGCTTTTACCATAAACAATTTGATGAAGAACTTGTTAATGAAATCCATATTTCTGTTTTACAACCAATTTTCTATAACCAAATTATGAGCTATTCATAATTGGATTTAGTCAAGATGCTCTGGAGCTATTTTTCTCTGGAGCCAGCCACCCAAACTTTTACATCCATGAAACTTAACTGACAGGCCACCAAAAATCAAATTATATTTTATAGCTCCAGTCTACTAAATGACTCAGGGTTTCCTCTGGGAAGCCACATTTAGGGAATTAACGCTGTGGTGGGTGAAAGTGAACCCCCTGTCAGGAAAATACATTTACTGATTTTGTTTTGATTACTAAAACTTAGGCCAAAGGTAAAATCCATTTATGTAACCCATTGACAAAAAACAAAAGTTGAAAGCTGCTTTGTTCGAAGTCAGTATTGGTTTGATATGATCAACAGGGTAAAAATCTGAATTACACTTTTAGGAAAACCACATTTACCAGATAAATGTTTGTTTATATGTTTGTGCATTTAAGAGACGCTTTTACCCAAAGCGACTTACAAAGTATGACAAATACATCTTCATTTCCCCATCAGGGAAATCGAACCCCAGTCTTCCACACGACAGGTGGGCACACTCACCACTATACTCACCCCCACCCCCATCTCAGCTCATGACAGTGCAGAACTGAGTGAAGATGAGTGAAGTGTGAGTCGGTGGGAGCACAGACGAAGCTTTCTGTGAGCGTGATGCTGCTCTTTGATATTCAGAAAAGAAGCTCTGACTATCTGTCTGCCTACATGTGCCCAAATAACCAAAGAGGAACACATGACACATGAAAATTTATTGGCTGGGAACTAAAAGTGTGAACAAGTGTGAACATTAAAAATGCTCTATGTTTTGCAAAACTTGAATGACTTCAGGTATCAAATCAACGTGATGCTAATCTCGCATAAGAGGAAATGAAAGGCTTTTTAATCCTACTGAGCCACAGTTAAGCTTTATTAACATCTTTAAGAAAACACTTAAAGAGCTCCATGTAGTCCGCATTGAAAACAATTCTCTTGGGATGATGGACTTCAGTCTAGGTTCTACATGTTCTCATAAGATATTACATAGAGTTCTCTTTCATATCAAGAAGGTTTAGTTTCAGATGATAAATAAAACCTTGAAACAAGTTTAACTTTTGCTTCAGTGGTGCATCTTCTCATGGAATACTCCCATAAGTAGACCCCGGTCAACCCTTTTTTTCAGTCTGTACCAAACATAAAGGAAAATATAGTACAAACTATCATCTGAATGACAATCAGTTCATAAGATTTTAAGAGATATTCATTTAAATGTTGTTAGAGGATATTTTACAAACACATAGTATAAGTAATGTATTACCCTTTTCCCCAGAACAACTCTCTTGCCAAAGAGACACAGGTCACAGATAACTCCTCAAAGAAATACAAAATATCAAATAATCTAAAACCAAAGTTGTTATCAAGCTGTCAGTTACGATTTGAAGAGTAAGATCACTCCGCTCTGTGTTTCAAATCACTTGATCCTGATCAGCCTCTGCAGTAAAGCACGCCATCATATTTGTTACTGTTATTTAAAATGAGTTAAAACATGTGTTTTTTTTTTAAAGAGTCCAAATCATTTCCCTTAGGTTCCAAAGGTTTGAAAGGTGCCCGTTACATCACTTCTGAAGCTGTCTCTAGCTTTTAAAAATATAAGACGAAAGAATTGTTTCAGACATAACTTTTGACACCAGTATAGATCCTTTTGGAACATCCTAGAGAAAACTGTATGTTGAACATTTTAACTGTTTGCCAGAGGAAAGGAGCAGAAAGGAAACGGAGAAGCTCTGCACATTACAATACAGGTGTTCATTTTATTTACAAGTGATGGTTATTATACAATGTTTCTGCTTTCTTCCTGGTTGCCCAGACAGGTATACAGAGCATGCAATAAGACAGAGATTGTACAGGAACGACATTGCACAGACATTGGGGGATTTTGTACGCAGAGTAATGTGTTGAGAAGTTAAACAATATTTACAGGAAAGCGTTGAACACATCTCAAGTCTGTTCTAACAGCTGAGATGTCGCAGTTTGAAGAAAAGGCTAGTAACCGATACCCCTAACACTTAAGGCTGTGGTTGGAAAGAAAAACCAAAAATCTTTTTTTTTTTTTTTTTTTGCCCTTCCTCAAATCAAGTGGAAACTACAGTATGCAAGTGGAAGCTACAGTATGCAATGTCCTAAGTGCAATAATAGCCCTAAACATTAATTCAATCAAAATGTGAAGGTGTTTAAAAGGGGAGAAAGTGCTTTTAAATTAAGCTTTTTCAAAAGTGAGCTCACCATTCACATAGCCACTCCCAGGAGCACCGAGTCACTGTACCTGAAAGCAGTTTTATTTATTGGCAGCCATTATTAACATCCACTCGCACACCTGCCTGTGCAGTTTTTAAGCGTCACGAAATAATCCAGCAACCGATTGACCTGAAACTTGGTAAAATTGTTATAACCTGTTATGTGGGAACATCAGGTAACAACAAATGGCTACATGACTATAAGTAACAGCAGAAGCATGCAAACATTGGCATTAATTTGTGTCCTTGTATTTCATGAGCGGCATATTTCTTTGTATAAGTTACACATTTACACCCAAAAATTCAGTATTTCCCACGTAGACCATCAATAAATGTATATATGTACATGTTGATTTACTAATTTCACAACGGTCCATTTTTGTGAGGACGCTTGAGGCCGTTTTGATGTTCAAACAGGCCTTTGTACAGCAAAGAAAAAAGCCCCTCTAAATCAAACAAAAAAAGTTGCATGTCTCTTTTCATGTCCTTTGACAAGCCTCCACTTCCTTAAAGGAGGGCATAAATAAAGAAAACTCCTGTGAGAACAAAAAACAATCAAACCTTTTCAAACTTTCCATCTTTTTAAAGCAACTACAATCTTTTGTTTATCATTCAATCCCGCCCTGTGTGCATGTATTAAAAAAATGAGATGTTGGGTGGAGTTTAAGAGGAGCTGAGGCCGGAGTCGGACTCGGCGCTGCCGCCCCGGGGCTTGGAGGCAATGCAGGGTGCCATGGAGCAGGGAATGGAGTAGCAGGAGCAGGTGGAGCTGTTCATGGTCTCCTCTGTAATGACTTCCTGCAGGGTGTGTTTCTCCTCTACTTGGAAGATGTTTGGCTGCTCTCCTTGAGCCTCACAGATACTAAAAAAAAAAAAAGGAGACATCCTTGCGGTTAGAATTTGCGCTGATGTTGATTTGTGTCACACCTCTAGCAAAAAATCCTCACAAACTCGCATTCATATTAGATTCTTTGGTTGGAAGCAACAATCTATGGAGGAAGTATTTGGGAGGATCATAAGTTTCAGATTTTCCAACAGAAAGTTCTTAAATGTCACCAAACATCTTTAGCTTTGGTAAAGCAGTCACTATCAAACATACAACAATCCACACTGTGCATCTCATGCACCTTTATTGCTTCAGACAGCAGCATCTGCTGCGTTTGCTCAGCAGCGAGGGAAATGACTGCACTGGTTGCCATCCTGGCCGCGGGATGTTTCTGCCATAAAAACATTTTTGGGTTGGCCCACACCTCGCGTGTTTACTGTCGGCAGAGCACTAGCTTATCATTTATTTTTGGCTTGTTATCCTTTACCGCCTGCGCCGCACCAGATTAAGGCACGTATAAAAAAATGAGGGTGCTCTACCATCTGTCAGTGGGTGGGGTAGAGTTAGTTTATAACTCTTAAAGGTAACACATTAGAAGGAAGTATGTTTCCAGCTTTATGAGCACAGTATTAACAAGCAGCTAATGAGTGATTTTAGTTAAATCGGCTGAATTTGTCCATCAAATGAGGGCAGAGGGTTCAAAGGGAGTCCAGTGCAATCACCCTTATTGGGAAAAAATAAAAAAAAACTGTGGCCCCAACGATTACAGGCAGATCAGTGCGTCGGTGGTGTATTATTCGAAAGCTTCCAATTACTCATGTGAGGCCCGAATGGGGGTTACTTTTGCATCTCTGATTTGTGTAAAAATTAGTTTCCAAACACCGTTTTAAAGCCGAGCCATGCACCTGACAAGCCATTCGCTCTTAATATGCGTCAAAGAAAAAATTTACAAAATGTGTCACAATATCAAGAATGAGATAAGAAGGACTTTCATAGCAGGTCCAAAACAAGACAGGCAGAAATGGCAACAAAAAAAATAGGCAGCTATCTGGTTTTTAGCAACAACAAAAAAACTATATACATTTCTCAAAAAAATTATAAACATGGCACTTGACCCATTAGAGACGAATATTGAGAGGTATGTCTGTTTTACAGGAATTCCACAAAAGTAGGAATATCCCGATGCCACGAAAAAGGCGCCGGAAATGCGAGTCAACCATCTCATGCATCATTGTCAAGGAACATTTTATCTGAGGGAAGGGGGGACTGGAGAACAGGCCAAGGGGGTGCTCGGTGAGTGAATGAACATGACACAGGAACCAGAGAGAAATTACAGGAATCAGGAGTACTTGAGTCAAAATATGGCACCAAGCTTTCACAAATTCTGCAAGAAAGAGGCACAGTTATAACAACAGCCAGAAAACTTTTTTTTTTCATTAGTTTAAAATGCTTTGCAACTAAGGCCCTGCTTTCTTGGACAGTTTGGGGCAATGTGCAGACTAAAATATGGGGCAAAAGTCACTTCAGATACACAGGCGTGAAACAGCTAGACAAACAGGCTCTGCTGACAGGGCTGTTTTTCTGAAGCAAGAGGGAACTTTCTGACCCCAGGACTAACCCAGCCTTTATATAACAGTGCTGCATCATCATTTCACGCTCAAATCCGTTCATAAATAACTGAAGATTTTTGAAAAACAATAATAATTAAAAAAGAAAAGAGCAACCCAACCGGTGCCAAATATGATCACTGTTTGGAAAGGGACAGATTATATAAGGCTGCAGTCCCTGGAAAACATGCTGAGTAATAGCCCTGTTCCTCTACAGCAGCATGAAAAAATGCGGCAACGTGGATGTTACTGAAAAAGCCGGTGTAAGGAAATTAAAACAGCATCAGAACTCGGCTCTGTGTGCAGAACAGATGGTTATCTAAACTATAGAGGCTTTAGAGGAACAAGAACATTCTTCTGATCTTAAAGACAAATCATAGCTGAAAGCATAGCTAACGGAAACAGCTGAACTCACTGAAAGCAAACCAAAAGAGCTACAAAATTCAACTATGACATCTGACAGGTGTGTGTTCATTCTGCCCCGTTAGCACAGGTGAATGAAGAAAAACTAAAGCTTATTCAAAACAAAAGCTTCCATCAGGTAACACTGTAACGATTGGGACAGGCCCTGAGCTGCGCTTGCGGAATACAACATGACAAGAAACAACGAGTCATGGTGACCCTTAACAATTCAAAGAGTAAACAGATCAGATCAATGATTTATTTGAGCTTACCTATCGTAGATGAGGCCATCTATTCCCTGCTCCCTCAGCGTCCTTCTGGTTTCATGATCATTGTTGTCTTCTCCCCAGCTGAACACCACCAGGCCTTTAGCCTGAGCCTCTCCGATGTAGTTCAGGTGCTTCAGCAGTTCTTCGGCATGGGCACTGATGCCCTGGAAAAGCAAAAGGTCATTGGTTTTGAGGGTTTAGGCCATCCGGTTTATTACAAGGGGAACTTACTCATAGCAACTCTTTGGCAGTCATCGGGTATATAAATAACTCACCAGAATATTTTCACTCTGAGCGAAGCTAACTGCGATCTGAGTGGTCTGGCATCGAATGTCCATCAGCTCTGGATATTTGTCTGAGATTCCCTGAGTAAGGAAGAGGATCGGGTACTTGTTCTGCTTATGACGCACCCTGGGGACAAATACACACAGATTTGATAAGGCATTGAGGGGTACCTATTCATAACTATATCCTGTGGAGACGGCATCTGTTCATTGGAAGCTTACACATAACAGTAAGAATTAATTAATTCTGGAGCTTTGAATATGGGCTCAAAGGTATCTGAGGCAAAAATTTTAGACGGGTCAACAGTGAACATTCTGGCTCTTTGATTAGAAAAACAAGATAATATTTTTTTCCCAGTTTTAGTGACTGGAAAAAGAAAAGAAAAGAAAAAAAATCAATGTTGACAATATAATTAATATTTCCTGCATTTTGGTTTCCCTGCTTAACTTACATTGTGCAGATATCTGGGTCGAAACAGGAAAAGATGATGCGTCTTTTGCCTCCATTCTGCAGAACGCAGGACAGGACAATGTCGAGGAACTGGTTCATGTTGAAATAGGAAGACAGGTTTCCATCCCAGGACCCATCCTGTAAATATAAAGTATTAAAACATCCGGTTAGGCTGAAAATGAGATAAAATAAAATATTTTGCCTTAGAAAACTCACTTTCATCTGGCTGATCCATTTTAGCTCGATGTTGAAGCCAACGTGCTCTGGAATAGCTTGGAAAATCTTTACAGGAACAATGGAGGGTCAAATTACTGGGACATAAAAAGCAAGACCGAGTTCATTTTATTACTGATCTCTGTCATAAAGACGAGTACCTGTGGGAGCGAGGGGAACGGCTGATGTTCATCGATGTCATCCTCGTCATCCGCAAGTTCTGCATGATGAACAAGAGAGCTGATCATGCACCAAATCCAACAGTAAAGTGTGTGGCAAGGCTAGCATGACACTGCATCAGCCTGCTGCTGAAGTATGGGCAGATTTCTAAGCTCTTTCTGTGTTTTTGTAAAACAATTTCCAACGTAATCTGGTGCCATCTGTTTCGGCTGGAAAGCTGTATTTGAGACATGTTGCACAAACCAAAACGAATGTCCATGGAAGAAAGTCCATTCTTATCTTGTTTTGCAAGCTCAACCAGCTCTGTGTCAGTGTGACCTTGACAAGTGTTATTTCACTACACACCTGTATATTTCCAAACAGTAAATGCCTCTTTTGTTTGCTCTTCATGTTGGCCATTTTCATAACTGTGCTACAGTGACCAGAAGAGGACAATCTGGAAGGTCCCTACCTAGAACATATTATCGATATTTTAAGGCACTAAGCTGAAAGTGAGTTTGTGGATCCCTGTGAATGGAAAAGGAGAGCCAACTCTGCTCCTTTCTAATGATACATCACTAACATTTTACAACTGAACTATGTAAATATCACATTGCGGTATAAGAGGGCAGAAAGACAAAAACATAAAATAATCTTACCATTGTGATCACTTTCTTTCAATGCAGTGACATGGGCCAGCTAAAGAAAGAGATCACATATCTACTTACATAGAAAGTTACAGGATATCAATCCCACTAACCCAAATGCTAACAAACCTTTTCAACCACTCTTTTTTAGAAAGTTCAGCCAAACATTCGACTTAATTTTAAACTGCGAATCAGTCAAACTTAAGCGGCAGCGTTGCTTACAGCTGTGCCGACAGGGTTACCTTCAAAAGCTGCAGCTGATCATATGTCAGGTCTTTGACGGGGACCTCAATAAGCTCCAGATTTTTGTCATTTTTCTGTCAAGTTGAAAACAGAATTGGTAATTGCATGTGTTAACACAACAGTATAAAAAGTTACAGGATGTGGAGGCTAAAAACAGTTGATTCTTACCTTCTTGGTTGATATACAGCAAGTCAGATCATGGTAAACGATAGGCACGTCATCCTTGGAAAGGTGGACGTCAAACTCCACAAAGGCCGCCCCCTACGAGTCCACACAGAAAAGGAGGTTTGCACAGCTGTCACTCCGAAAGCAGCGCTCAATTAATAAACAGGCAGTACTGTGGCTTACATGATTTGCAGCACTTTTGAATGAGGCTATTGTGTTCTCTCTGACTCTGTAGTGTCTGTAAAACACAAAACAAACAAAAAGAAAATGCATTAACTGACACAATGAAATGCAAATGCAAAATGTATCTGTTGTATGTAGCATGTGCAGGATTTAAGCCACAAGAAAAATTGCATATTGCCAAATTAAAAATATTCTTTCCACTTCATTTTCATAATGCTCTCACAGATCATGTTGTGAGTGAATCGTGTGAAAATGTTGCTATTCTGTAAGGAAAAATCAAATCAGTGAATGCATCCATGTTTCTTTGTGTATTTGACTTAATAACCCTGAAGTTCAGGTAGGATTTGCTTGTGTGACTCACTTGGCTGCCTGAGTGCTGCCTGCTCCCCTGTGACCCACATCCAGAGTACTCCTTTTCTTCCAGTGCTTTGCGTACGAGGAGCTCATGTCACACTGGATCCCTTGGATTGGTCGGATGACCAGGTAATCCACTAAAGAAAAAGTGAGCAAAAAAAACCCCAACAAAAATGTTTAAGTTGAAAACACGACGACTGTAAAACAGCATTCTGAAACATACAAAACTCTAATATAACATTTCTCCTGAGGGGAAACAGATGACACCCGATTACGTTGGAAATTGTTTTACAAAAACACGGAAAGAGCTTAGAAATCTGCCCATACTTCAGCACAAAAAAAGCACATTAGCAGAGCAGATAGAAAATCTTACCCTTGACTTTGCCTATAGTCTGCCTTGAGTTTCGGCCCATTATGGGAAGTGTGGCTACTCCAGAGTCCTTGCCACTCTCCAAAAACGAGGACGAAAGGAGGCAGGCTGTCCCTACATATCCAGGATGGAATTCCCCCTGAACTACATGCTCACCCATATCCTCCTGCAGACAAAACATACGGTCTGTAAATAGCCAACTAAATATATCAAGATAGAAATGATGTACAAATATCATGCTGAATTACTTTTTACTGTGTACAAATATCTAAATAGCAGTGTTACCTCAAAGAACTCAAAGGTGAGCTCTAGGTTGTCGGGGTCCATGGTGTGGATGCAGTATTCTGTCCACTGGGAAGCATCCAGGGCGTAACCACACTCCGGCTGAGAGTGGCGTGTCTTATAGGCGTTGGCACTAATCATACTGATCTCCAGAGAGGTGGTTATTTTGTGCCAGGATGAGGTACTCAGTTCATCTTTCTTGTCCTGCTCCTCCTCCTCCTCCACCTCATCCTCCTCTTCTTCTTCAAAGCCCTCCAATGTCAGCTTGATTCTAAATTTGGAGGAGAAAACAATAATCTAAAGTAATTTGGAGTAAAATTACTTTAGATTACACCAGCTCTTACAACAGCTCTTCAATGCTGTTGTGTGACAGGACTGCGGGTCAGAAGGAGATGAGGCAACACTGGACTTTCTCTGTTGTTAAATATATCTGTAATGTCATTCAAACCTGAAGCGAGACTTCTTATATTTCTTCTTAGTGATGGACACCGGAGGCATCTTTGAATAGTGCAAACGCAGGCGAATCTCTGTCTGGCACGTCAGCCACCCTGAGTCAACACAGTTTATCCTGTCTATAGAAAAAAAGGATGGCCTGAGATTAGATTGTGCACCAACTTTGTCAGTCATGAATGCTGACTGCACAGCCTCCTACAATAGCAGGAGGGTGCTGCACTTTTGTTCACGCATAATGAAAAACCTGGGCGGCATGAAACATTTTATATAATTTAAACTTGTATAAAAAAAACTTGTATAAAAGGATTAGCACTATTTCTGTGTTGGTTTTTAGATGGGGATTTATATTTATTATCCCAACTTACTATGAATTCCAAATGCTCCGTCGTCAATATCCTGTTGTGGTGCTGCGAACAAAGAGAAGAACATTAGAAAAAAAGAAGCTCCACAACACAAAAGCTGGAAGTCAGATCAAACCAGAACAGTTGAATGAGTTTAATGGCAACTTGTGTTTACACTAGATGGATGTGACTTTTATGTGAACAGCAAGCCAGATTAAAGCCTGTATTGGTTTGCTCTGACTTCTCTCAGCGTCAAGAAAATTCACTCAATTATAAAACAGCTGCGTGCTTTAAAATTCAATACTTAATGTTCAGCATATAATTGGGATTTTTTTATCAGGGGTTTATGAGATTAACAGTTACAGTGGATACTCCTCTGTATCCAGAAGAGAAGCAAAAATAAACAGATGAAAAAATGAAAACATCAAACAGGGTGTGAAACTAACTGCCACTATTCTGAAAAACCGGTTTGAATAAAAGTTTTGTTGTATGAGGCCAGCACATGGCACATTAATCAGAGAAACATACAATTACAGTTAACATCTAATGCACAGAAGCGTTTCCTCTATGGTTACAGGTTAGTCCAGCGAGTCAGGTCAAAGTTAAGCAGTAAATCAAAGTAAAGAGGAAACACTGCTCAGCTACACAAAACAGCAAACCTGACTGTAAGATAAATAAGAACGGAATCAGCTTCTAGCACAGGGAATGGGAGGGCTGAGTATAACAGACTTTACCAATCCCAACCAAACAAAAGCACCTTTTCTTTTGTTGTTTTTTTTTTTTTGTGGGGTTATACCTGTGGGGCTCATCGTGCGGGGGTGATGATGGGTCTCCCACATATTGACTATCACCTGACTGGGACCATCTGCACTCTGCAATTCCAATGTTGGGTACAATGTTAGGCTTTTCAGATCAGAGATGTGGCACTACTGTTCAGACTGGTCTCAAAAGTGTCTTTGAACCAGAGGGTGAGAAAGGAATTAAGAGATGGTATAGTCACCAATCCCTCTGTTAGGGATGCCAGCCACCTTAGGTTGAAATCTGAAAAGGGGATTTGTTAGTGGAGGGAGGAAAAATAAACCCAGTGTCCTTAGGAACAATTGTACACAAGCATGTATGATCTAATGACCTTAGATATTTACCAAAAAGAAAATGAAAGAAAAAAAAGTTCTCAAAACAGGTAAAATGTGCACCTAAAGACATCAAGTTTGTAAATGTTTCCCATTTATTTCCCTGTTCTGTTTATTCCCTGTCTGGAAACCAAATTTCAGCTAACAGTCGTCTGACTAGTCTACTAAACAAGTTGTCGCAGACAACAAAGTAACAGAAAATACAAAAGTCAGGAAATGAGGTCAAAACAAGCTGAGTCCAGGAAGATGCAAACTCAATTCTTTGGAGAGGAACAAAACACCACACCCCGACTCCAAAGAAACAAAGTCACCGGAAACCTCAGCAAAACTCTTTGCAACTTGCTTTTTCCTCAGAGAAAATTATCATAGGAATGCAGCTTCTGGGTTTGTTACGTGGTGAAAGAAGGCTTAGTGGAGGCTCAGTAAAGGTACATGTGATAGATTAAAGCAAACCAGCTGGGCGCTTTTTCTGTGGCTGGATCATTTACAGCCCTGACCTTCTCTGTTCACACTTGGAATTAGCCTTCATCACAGACAAGCACACAAGTTCACAAGGACTTCTTCAGGATGTGACCAGTTGGGAAATAATCTCACTTCCTTTTCTGCTTGCATTTAATCTCACGCACAGACAGACACTGAATAAGCAGCTGGTCAGCTATTGTTTCCCAAAAATCCAAATGCTTTCACTTCAATAGTGCAACATTTAACTGTGCTACAGGTCTGACTGACTCAGACTTATATCTGCCAATTGATTGACAAAATCCATACATTATGTAATGACATTACATCAACTACTGGAGAAGAAGCAAGACAAAAAGCAAAAAAGACAGTGTGAGCTCTGTGTGGCTGCACCTCAGCTAACGAAAACCCTGCTGCCTTCATTCTGGACCAGGGAAGGAAAAAAAAAACAAGCAAGTGTTCCATTGAGGCTAAAAAGTAATAACATTTTGCTGCAATAGAATGCAAGTGTCACAAACATGCCTCATGACATTCCCGTCTCAATCAGTCGAGACTGATTGAGAATAGCAGTCAGACACATTTTACAAAGTGTGAACAGAGCCTAATGGTCAATAATGATTTAAGGACACTGCAATGATACATCTTAACTCATGTTGATCCACAGAGCTCATTAAAAAAAATGTTTTTGGTGACTTTGAGCAATGAAAAAACAAACAAAAAACAGTGTTTCTTCTCCTTCTGATGAGCTGCAAAAGGACATGGGCCAGTTTATGAGGTCCCAATACAAAGAAGGACATTTGGGTCAAACAGAGCCTAACTAATAGGACTATGCAAACAAAATGAACAACAATACTCACATTTTTAAACTAATGAGTAGGTTAGAGCGTGATAAGTAGATATATTACCATAATAACACTACTAAGGTCTGGCTTTGCAGCTCTACAAAAAAAGACTCACCTTTGACTTTAAAAAGAAGCCTTTGAAATAGCGATACTTGGAAGGAACACCTCTTGGTACAGCGACAGTTGTAGTCCATGTGTGCCTGTCATCATATCACAAAATTTGTTATGACCAAAGGAGGCCACCTATTCACAGCAAAACAAAACAAAACAACACAATAGGCAACAGTTGCAAAATATAAAGTTCTACGTACCCATCATCTCCAAGAGGATGCAAGATCACAGCCTTTTTGTAGTTCCAGCTTCCCAGGGCTTCACAGCTACCAACAACTGCAATCACTTCACCTATGAATAGCCAAAAGTAGCATTTTACCTGTTGAAGCTTTAGCAATAAATAAAAACAACTGAGAAGGGAACACATAAATGCAAACTGGCTGAGAATAGAAAACAATACCGATGTATTGTTGTGAGCTTTAACATATGTAATAAATATGTAATATTTTTTTAAATAAAAATAATAAAAGACCCTGTTAACGCGAAACAGAGAGAGCTTTCGAACTCGGCACAAAGTTCACACCGCTGTAAATGTTGAAGTTAAAACAATATTTGCATTAAAAAAAAGAATAAGACATACCTGGAGATGTGTTTCCCCTGACAGCCAAGGTCACCTGAGTGGTCTCCATAGTTGGAAAAAAAGGCGCTCACAAATACCGACGGTGCAAACAAGCTGTGAGACATCAGGTTCCAAAGTAAACATTTCTTCGCTCGCTTCCAACTAGCAACATTACGCATGCTGTATAAGAGCAGAATACTGTGGCCTCACTGGCCACGTGGCTGCTGCAGATTGACACAGAACTCATCATAACATGAGAAATGTTACCAGTACTAGCTGGCTCGTGCACAGCTAGCTAGTCGCCAACCGGCAAACCGCTCAGCTACTTATTAGCCGGTTCTCTAGTACGTCTGAGGTAGTGCAATTACACATTAAAAAAACAACCCCCATACCTTATTAAATCCCACAGTTTTGTGTTGGCTCTTGGCACTGTCCAGAATTGAAGTTCACGGCACCCTGGGTTCGTCTAACCCGCTGACAGGCATCTGTCTGGGCGACGGCAAAACTCAACAGCTGGTTCAAAAACAGCCATAGCCTCTTACTTAATTAAGCGATAGAAGTATTGGCCTAAAGTGAAGAAATGTGTTCAAATGACAGATACAACAGTTAAAACTGACTTAAAGAAAACAAAAACAACTAAGCCCCGTCACGACGTTACATCGCGTAAAGGTTGAACATTAACTGGAACAGATATGCAACGTTGACAACAAAAAAGCATCAAGCGGTCACATTGACAGCAGCAACTTCCTATTGATACTTTCAAACTAAAATGCATAATGACCTAAAACAGAACAGGAAATAAAAAACCGTTTTACACATAAGTGGGAAAAAAGGGTGCTTTGGCAGCACCCTTGTTTAAGGGCCAGATACCTTTAACATTGAAGATGGGGCCAAGTGTGTACTTTATGAGCAAAGTATTCCATGTCTTGTTTAATTCACTGAAATAAAAAAGGCCAAGATGACAATGGCAGAACTGCTTATCTTTTTAAGAAGTTTGGATTATTTCGTAAGTACAATGTAAACGTCAAAAGAGTGATTGAATGGCACAGCTGCTGAAATATAGCATCCCAGAAAGAAAAACATGATATTATGGCCATTTTCTGGATAAAAGCGTGTAAACGTCTACTGCTTCCAGCATTTCTAAAGTGAAGTATCTACCAATGAACGTGCAACAGCTCGGAATGTGCTTTTATTTTAGGAGCACGATTTACGCAGTACGCGATTTGTACGAGCTTCCGCTGGAAACTTGATGAACTGGTTCATACCGCTTTGCTCCGGATTTGTAGCAAGCCCACGCCTGCTGCATTTGAGTTCCTCCGAAAATCGCGTTAGGATAGCTCAACAATACACAATTTTATGATTTGATGTGAAAAAAATGTAAATCGACCCCTTTTAAAATGTAGATTTACAATCCCTTAATCGAAATATAAAATCAGCGATCTTTTGCCAGCGCGGTGATGACTACGTACAGTAAAAGTGCTTGAGAAACCGATATCTTTGAAATAAACGATTTTCTATCAATGCAGCATCAGCTGGGTTTGTTTTGTTTTTCTGCTTACAAACTTAATCTTTCCAAAAGTGTATAACGTTATAGCAGACGAAATTATGTAACGTGATAAGTCACCAAAACTTGTGCCCACTAGCAATATACGCAGAACTTGACTCGTATGCGCATTTTCCATCCAAACAGGATTTGTTCAGAAAATTTGGGTGCATCGTGTTCAGAGAGAGGAAATGTTTTGCGCAGTGACGTCATACACACTGTACTCGTGACTGTTGATTGGAAATAAAAACAGTCTAGAAATGGAGTGGATTTTCCAAAGTCTTACAGAATGCACACGTTTAGCAAAAATGAATCTATTTTCTTTGCGTTTCTCTCTTTGGTCTTTCTTTTTTTCGGTTTTATGTATACTTGCATATTCAGTTCACATAGACACTTAATCCAGTAACACTTCCACGTGTCCTTAAAAAGACGAAACTTAAAGTCTTTTGAAATCATGGTTATTTTAAACAACTATTTTGTTTTTCTGAAACCTCCAAACTCTAGGTTATTTAAAACAACTATTTTGTTTTTCTGAAAGCTCCAAACTCTACATTCATTTAAAGCAGTAGTTTACAGGCAATTATTTGATTGGGATGGAATGTGACTAGTGACCTGTGAAATTATTCCTAGTCGAGTCGCTGGGGGCTGCAGCCTTACTTCCAGAGGACATTTGGTGTATTATCTAAGATAATTCAATATAATGTGATCCCAGCCCCACTTTAGATGATACAGCCTAACCTAGGCTAACCCTGACACAATAACAGCTTCTCTACTGATTTTACCTTAATCAGAGGCTCATTTGATAATAATGCTGTGGTGATAGTGAGTGGTGTTAAACAGTTCTAAGTTCTATTTATTAAAATACCACAACCGAACTGAAACTTAACATCACAGCTCAGTCTGTAGCCCCCTCCAGTGTCCAACTGAAAATAATGCAACGTGTGCAAAAAAGATGTTATCGGTGAATAGGTGGTACGGAGCTGCCATTCCAGATTATACTAAATCAGACTTATTTTTTATTTATTCATTCACATTGCACTGATACAAATGATATATCCTGTTGTTATATGACACTTTGAGTTATTTTCTAACGTTGCTGATAGTATGATGAGTTGTTATCTAAGAAGAAGATGGCTTTTGCCCAAAAATAACTAAATGAAAAAGACATATAGACCCAGTGCACCTTTTTTAACTTTAGGTCGTTGCTTTCTTTATATTTAATCAAATCTTTTATGTGGTATTCAATCACCCCAACGCTTAATCTGACCTTTAGTGCTTTAATCTGCATGTGTCATTGTTGAGTGAGAGTATTACAGGGTCCCAGGCCGTGTTATCAGCTCTGTTGCACTGAGCAGTGACACATTTCCCCACAATACAGTTTGTTAAAAAGATGTCAACTTAATTTCCTAATGAATCAAGATACTGAGAAGCAATGATGTCAACTTGTTCTTCGCTAAAGTTTCTGCACTAGTATCATTACAAGGGAAAATACTTACCGTAATTCTCCCCCAGTGTGCTGGAAAGAAGCTGCCTTCAGGGCAAGACTCAAAATTGGCTTGATATATCAGAATCTTTTTCATCCGTAGTTTGTAAATTAAAACAAATAGGAAAAACTGAAATATTAATGGAATTTCAGTCCACGAGACGGGAAAGCAATATGAAGTCATTGCAGTGCTTATTGAAGCAGATCACACAATTCAAACTGACAAAAAACACGTCTTATGATTGAATGTGAGGGCTTTGAACAAGAACAGCCAATATGTGCTGTGAAATGCATGTTTGTGTTAAAAAAAGGAACTTGAGGTCTGTCTCATATTCATCTGCATTGAGATTACATCTGTTGTTGATGGATTTAAAGTTTCTCCTTGCCCAGTTTGTTGCATGCACCATTCTCTTGACTCAGGTTTAGGGATTCTATATGTGAAAAACATAACATTTGTTATTATGAGGTGCTCTTTGAACTCCCTAAAAACGTATATAAATCATCAGCTTAACACTCAGATGACAGATGACAGACTGCTGAGTCATTCATTCATTCATTTGTTCATGATATATCGTGATATCCGCTTCTCGCCATTTGAGGTCACATGTGGGCGAAAGCCTATTCAAGCTGTCATCAAGCAATAACCCGGGTACATTTCTCTTTTGTGTAACTGCTGATTCAGGGAGAGAAAATAGAAGTGATTCTTCAGTGCTGAAGTCTGGAACAGAAAATAGTGTGGAGAAAATAAATCGAATCCCTGATGAGTTTGAGGTTTTCGTTTTTTTTAACACACGCTGTCGCTGAATGCAGATGGTTTCTACAGTGTTGCACCGACTCCTGAGCTAAATCCCTTTCCAGAACATCAGCTTGCAGAATTTGATAGTCAGTTGTATGCTTTCACTAAAGTGCATCCAGACAATTAAAAACTCAAGGGATTTTTTTATTGAGGGAATTACACACAGTAATTTAAGGATATCATACTGTCCTTAAATAGAGTTGGTGTGGGCAGCAAACCATTGACGGGTGATCGAATCCGGCCGCGGGGAGGGGGGGATGATGGCTCCACATATCAAAGCACTGCACCATACCCCAGCTGCCTGTCAAAGGTCATTAGGCAGAGGAAATGAACACTGACAAAGAGCTGACAGCGTGGACGGCAAACAGACAGATCTGGAAGATGTTATCTGTTTGTTTGTGCAAAAGAAAACACAATAAAAGCTAGAGGGATGCTGCTCTGGTCTTTTTTTAGCTGCTGCCTGAATGCAGAGATGGTGTTGTGTGATAATGACCTTGCCCACAGGCTAAATTTAATTTCCTTTGAAAGAAAAAACTGAAGAGAACATCTTTAAAGTTATCTGTCCCCAAACTCTGAGTTGTTGGTAGGATTATGAGATATAGCAACACTTTGATCATACAGTAGTTCTTTGGTAATAGTTACTGACAGATTCAGACAGCAACCATTCCCTTTTAGATGGCTTCTCTCTTTAAGTTGACAGCGTGAGTTAGTGAACATTTACTTTATACATCAAAGCTTTGTGCAGATAAGAGGCAAAATGCCAGTCAGCCCTTTTTTCTGTACAGTTACACTGAAATACACAGTAACAATTAGCTGAAGATTGTTCATGAAAAAACATGAACCAGTATTCAAGCCAGAGTCCAAAGAAATATCTGTTCACAAAGCACATTTTTCCAAGTTCAAACCCGTGTGCTGCACTCAATCCCCTGATTCTGGGGCTTGTTGTTGTCTTCTGACCTATGCTGAGGTCTTTCACCCTTCCATGGGCAGAAAGGAATATAACGAACCCAAGACTGAGACTGGAGGCAAGAAGTTATTCCAAAAGGGAGGTCATACACATCTGCAGACACCACGGTGTTATCAGAATATTCAGAGTGTACTTCATCCCAGCCAAGGAGGCCACGTTCCTTTTTAGTCCCTGAATGATAGAATAAAGGCCGTTAGATGATGATTAGAACTGCTTAGTAAGTAACTCTGTCGTAGGGCTATCTACGACCCAAAGATGCCAATGTTTATTAAAACAAAGTATTATTTTTATTACTATTTGAGTCCTTTAACAAACCTATTGAACCACTGAAACAACCAACAAGTTCGATTTAAATTTCAGCAGAACTCTGTTGCATAATTTGTTTTGACTTGACATTGTGAAGAAGAACAGGTGTTACAAAGAACTTTAGCAAAAGGCTCAGATTAATTAAAGTGTTCCTAAAAGGCCTCATAATGAACCCATGGAGACATTCACACAACAAATTATGAGAAGGGTCTATGTGACTTAGCAGCAGCTTTCCAATTTAGCTTACCAGGAATCGTGTTATCCAGTAAGAAGCCGAAGAACCCTCCCACAAACATATGAGTGGTCCACAATATGCGCAAAACTTGGTCCAGCTCTATGATATCTGGGCATGCATAAAGGACAAGAGAGATAATTACTATTTGCTGAATTAAGCTTAGCTTCTTAATTAAAAAAAAATGACTGAAGTGCCAAGGCTAAAACTGTGGGGAGGTGAATAAATGTAATTTCTTGTGTGTTGATTATACTTGTTTTAAGAAAATCAGGATTCTTCATGATCCAGTTTGGAATGACAAGTGCCAAAAACATGGAGAAACCGAACACAAAGATGTTCCGAGAAGAATTCATATCTGTGAACTACCAAAGAGGATGTGTCAATAAAACAGCACACACAGCAGAAGTAGTTTTGTATGTTAGAACTTTTAAATGTGTATGTCCAGTGACCTTTTTACCTGCAAATTAGAAATCCCTGCAGCAGATATGACCCCAAACATGATTAGGAACATCCCTCCAATTACAGGCATGGGGATAGTTGAAAAGATGGCTCCAATCTTGCCCAGTATGCCCATCAAGAGCATCAAAACTCCACTCAGGAGAATTACTGTTCGACTCCCTACCTGTCATGAAAAAAAACATGTAAATATATACATATATATCTACATAAATTAAGTTTCAAATGTAGATTCCCTCTGTTATATGATAAAGGGTGGTAGCATTGTGTAAAACAAAAGTTGTACAATAAACTTGAGCGCTTACTTTGGTGATACCAAGAGCTGCCACATTCTCACTGAAGGAGGTAGTGCCATTGCCTGTGCCAAATGCTCCTGCCAACAAAGAGCCAAGACCTTCCACACCTATGCCCCGGCTGATGGCGTGCCTTGGTGGGGGAGGAGCCCCTGAAAGCCTGGCACATGCATGATAGTCACCCACGGATTCTGCCATGGAGCATATTATTCCAGCCAGAATACCAACTACAGCTGCCAGGCTCACATCTGGAACACCCCACTGACCTGAATAAAAAGTCTTATTGGTGATACCTGAATAGTTTTTAAAACCATCTTTCACCACGGATCTTATGACCTACATACCAGGGTAGGGGATTGTGAACCAGGATGCCTCGCCAACAACATTTCCCTTTACATCAGTACGGGCCAAGTAGCCGTACTGGACTGAGTCCGATGGTAGGACATCATAGATGGTGAGGAGGTAGCAGACTAGCCATGAGACTGCGATGCCCAGCAGAATCTAATCAACATGTAATATGAGTATCCACTGGAGCATTTACGAATATGAGCAAGCAACAAAGGTGTGGAGAGTTACAGTAAAAAAAAACTGATCCATATTGTAGGATATGGTGAGAAAAGGTCTTACTGGCATTGTCTGGAAGATAAAGAAGTTTGAGGTGTGAAGTTTCTTGGATTTGCTATACACAGGAACCGGTAGTGGTAGAAGACGAAGGTACTGAGAGAAAAGGATGATCAGCGCTGCAGTCCTGGATGAACAACAGAATATCACAATGATAAACAAATGAAAAAACATTTCAGGAAGTCAGACTGTGCAAATGATGAGATTTTTTTTATTTTTAAAATTTCATGCTAGGATTCCCATCCTTGGAAAATGTAATCTCAAACTCCAGTCAAGCACTGTCGCTGAGTGGTCACTTACATAGCAGAGATGCCCCAGTGCGATCCAGCTCTATCTCCAGCTGAGTCATACAGTGATAGGCCTATGAGAGAGACAGTGGGGGCAATGGTCAAGGGGCCAATGAAGCGCATGAGGAAGCCAATAAGGCCAGAGAAGCCGACCAGAATCTGGAGGAGAGAGGCCACCATGATGGAGCCCTGCAGCTGTGAACACAAAGATAGTACCTGAGTACATTACCAGTAATATCACCATTCTTTCTTTGTTAGTATGACTGGTTACTTCCCACAGCGGAAGCCATATGTGCTCACTTAATTAATCATTAGCGCTGTAGCACTTTTGATCGTTTTATCATAGACTGTGAGTTTGCCTTGGCTCACTGTTCTCATGCGCGTCTGCCACACTTCTATGAATACGGGTGAAGAGGTGTTGACCAGACTGGCATTCTGGGTCCAAGCAGGGCACTTCCACTCTGGCGTGGACAGCATAGCCATGACTGGAGTAACCAGGGCAAAAGTACCCCCCTGTAGGATAGGAAGCCTTCGAGTGTGATAAAGAGAAATTAATTACCATAGGCCAATCTTAAACCATGTAAAGAAGGAATACATAACTGTGCAACTAAGGTTGAAATTGATGGCTGATTTTTTAAATTAAAATTGATAGTTGTTTCACTTCAGTTTGTTGTTGTTCTGTTGGGATCTAAGTTAGTATCGCCATATGGCGAAATTAATGAGCCCACTTTTTGCAGACATGCTCACCATTTAAATTTAGTGTATCGATTTGCTTGCCAACATCCTTTAATGAGGAACTGCAACAATGCAACATGTGCAAGCGCATTTGTTGACCATCAACAAGGGTATCCTAACCCTGTTCAAAAAGCTAGTCTTAAATTAATCACCTGGATGGAGGCAGTAGAAGAGGTTACTACTTATATTAGATGGGGTATGGGTCAGAAAACAGAACTACACAAATGTAGCCCCTATTTCTGAACATCTCATATCAATTAGAGCAGGCATAAAAACTTGACCCCAAAAGTAGAATGTAATTAAGAACGAAGCAGTTTCAATTGATCCAGCCAATGTGTACGTATGTGGCAAATCTAAGTAAAATAAATCTACTGGTAACTGTTTTATTTTTCAGTTATCCCATCTACATTTTCATATGTTCATGTGTTATGTATGTTTGTGTGTTGCAACCCCATCTTTTCTCCCAACATGACATAAAGATGACGTGTCCTTTTTTATTAAGTTTAGTCACTAATCTAATATCACATTTACTGCTCAAAGTCAAGCAACAAATTCTCAAGACAGCAATTCTAATTACTCACTCTAATTACCCACTTTACACAGTGGATAGGTTTATGGCTCATAAGAATTAGTGGATGTGTACACATCCACAGTGAGAATCGGGTGCTGGCAGTACTGAGTTATCAAAAACATCTTGAAGGTGCATTTTGATGGTTTAAAAATTTTGTTGACTCGATTCAGAGGTTTGATATTGACATGTCGAAAATGTAGACTGATAGCATGAAGTCCTACCGGATCTTACTTTTTATTTTTATTTTGGTTGTGTCTTAAGCTCTATTTATTCTGCAATATCTGCATGTTGGTGGTAATATCAGCTTCTCTGTGCTTAAAAAGCATGAACATTCATAAGAAGTTCCACTCTACCACCTGCCGCACTTAACTGAAGTTACATTTGGTTATGGGCAGCTTTGTCTGGAACCAAATCTAACATACATGTAGTTAGGAGGTTTTAGTGTGTTTGTACTTTGGGAAATCGTCTGCTTATCTATTGATGCATTTTTACTATGTTTTCTGTTTATCGATAGCAGAGTTCAATGACACAGGATCAAAAGAGTTCAGTTAAAACACAAAGTGAGGTCTGTATGTACTTTACTGCCTTCATGATGAATGAGTCCCAAGTGTGCTCACTTAATGGACTGGATCCCTAACCAGACTACCCCCCAACCGTAATACTGAACCATTTCCAACAATCTATTCACCAGCTGAGTCATTTCATTGCCTTTTCATCTTTGTTCAGGAGCATGGCAATCCAACAGAGCTGTTTCTTCCTCCTAATTGCACTGCACCTCTATGATGCTGCTGCAAAGACACCTGTTTATGACACTATGTTATATCATGCTGGGTCAGCAGATAAAAGCATACCCAACTTTTTAGTTATTACTGTCCACACTCTTTATGATCAGATTAGTGCCTCTTAATAGGGGCCTTCTTAGGGCAACTTAAATTGAGCTTCTGAAAATACTGACACCTGAGTTCATCTAATGTTTTGTTGTTTTTGTAACACCAAAGAAACATATCATTGATTAATGCAAATTTATATAATTATACCATCATTGATAAAAGGATAATTTATTGATATTCATAAGAGTTCTCATCTAAATCAACTTCTCTCTAAGAAGGGGATGGACCTTTGCTGCATTCTCACCTTACGCCAAAAGTAACCTGGAGAATGGTGCAGATGCCAGAAACAAAGAAAATTGTGTTTATGAGTCGACTCTGGGTCAGGCTGTCATGCTGAAGACACAGCCCCTCCGCGAGAATAAGGGGGATGGAGATTATTCCACCGAATGCTGTCAGGTAATGCTGTAGAAGAGAGGAACTGCTAGTTTAATAAATGGTTCAAGAAGACACAGCAGCTGGTGTAAGAGGTCATAACTTGGTTTGATCCTTAACTGTCTTCCTTGCTGTATCCTAAACATAGTTTTCTTTTTTAATTCCTGGTGTATCACCCGGACATTATTGATTTTAATTATAGAGTTTGTTAAGGATTAACAGCTGTCCTGGGTCTTTTTTAAATAACTAAACCAGCTCCTACCCTGTCCTCGAAAACTGAAAGGAAAGGTATATTAAAAGGGATCTTGTAATTTACAACAGAGTGCTGAACACCCACCTGAACAGCCAGGAAAATACAAAGGTACCAAGGAGGGATATCAGTCACACAATAGGTTGGTTTATTTCTGTCTTTCTCTTCCTCACACATCCTCTCACAGGTTTCGTCTGCATTCCGTCTTAGTTGATCATTAACCTGAAAAACCATATACAACCATGCTCATCCAAAGCCACTGGCAAGTCAACAAGACAGGAAAAACAGTGGGACAACAGGTCATCTTCAGTTTAGTCAAAACTGACTCAGTGATCACTTCAGGTCAAAGTTTGCTGCACTGATAATTTCCTCACAAACAGGCATTTAAGATCATCTGCAGACATAGCGCTTTAATGATTGACATATTGCTGAACTTTATGATAGTGAATGTGAAAAGTCCATGTTTATTGCGGAAAACACGTTTTACATTCCGTGAACACCGAAATGTTTCTGTATTTGTGTTTGTCCATAGTTTAAAATGAGAAGAGCTACAAGGAGACTTGTTGGAATGACAAGCTTTTAAAGTTGATTTACGACAAAAAGGATACATTTTGCTGCTTTATGGGAGTGAGAGAATAGTGTGGGAAGTATTTATAAACCTCTCTAATTTACATTAAAAATAAGTTTTAAAAAATGTTTCTTACTGAGGAAGCACAAATATTAGTAATTGTCTCCCTTTCCATTCCGAACATCAATATTTAAATATTATAAAGTTTTCATGTTACATAATACACAGATGGACTCGCACAAAACTCACAGAAATGAGAAAAGGTAATATGTCATTTATAAGATGACAAAACAATAAAAAGAGCAAGCAGATACACAAAGAAGTAATTGTACTCACATCAAATGCAAGATTGTCAAGCCCACAGCTTTCCTTCCTTGAAGCCATTGCAATTCCAGTCTAAAGCAAAAGGCTTATGTATAAATTCTGTAATAAAATTGTGTCTGTCAGAGGTTTTATCACAACCCAAGCATATCATGCAAGACAGGTGAGTGAGTGTGTGAGCGCTCTAAATCCTGACGGAGAAAAAGACACTCAGTGTAAAACTTGGCAAAGATCAGCCTCACCCACATGCTCTCAGTGGTACATGCTGGTACAAGGTGTTTTTTTTATTTACTTTTTCTACCAGCTTATGCAGAGCTGATCCTCTACAGCAGGGTGGGAATGCCCGATTTTCAACACGTCACACATTAAGCTTTACAACTCTCTGATGTATTTTGTAAATAGTCAAATCAGTTAGATGAAGTCATTTTGGAGTTGCAATCAATGGCACATGTCAAAAGTAGCACCTCCAACATCTGGGATCAAGTGTTAAGAACAGCTCTTTTTATCACTGTGAGAGCTGCAAATTTAGCTTTATTGGAAAACATTTTTGCTTTATCAGACTTCACATTACAATATGTCTCAATCTTGTGACTAAGTTACATGCATGGGAATCTTTGCTCTACAACCCAAAATTCCAAATTCCGCTTTGCAGTCATCGATAAGTTTATATAGCCTGTCTTGATAAAAAAATGGATGTGTGGATGGGCAGGCAGATGGGTGGTAATATTATTTTCTTTTTCTTTAAAGATTCTGTAGTACATTTAAACACAGGGAGAGGTTACAAATGGATTTAATTCAATCTGCTAATATAGAGGATCAAAAGCTTTGATCAGCATGCTTGAGATAATGCTGACAGTTTCTTTTTAGAAAGATAAAGGGACCAAACTGGAAAGATTGTTAGATTAAGAGATTAACCCCCTTCAAAGAAAGAAGTCTTCCCCTCTTATTTAGAGGAGGGACACAAGTATAAAGACTGACAATGTTATAGCAGGCTTAGCAATGATTTTGGGGGAAACATCAGATAAAAACTGGGATAAATTGTCTTTGCCTCCCTTTGGCACTTTACAGAAACCAAAGTGGTACTTCATATTGGGTCATGATAACCTAGATTTACTTCCTTTCCAAGAAGGTTGCACACTCGCCTATTCCTGGCTAATAAAAACTGTGAAACAAAGAGTGTCACATACTATGATCGGGTCAAAGTGACTGTAAGAAAGTTAAAAGAATGAGTGAGCCAGGGCATGGACGAACTTCATGGACATTGTTTGGTGTCAGAAACTTGCTAATATGAACTAATCTACTTGAAAAGTACAGTTAAGCCCACAAGTAGAAAGTGATTATTACTCTGAATGATGCTCTTTTTCAACACAGCAATCTGTAATACCATTGGCTGTGGTGTGTCGCATAATTACTGTAAGTCCCTGCAATGTTTTTGTAAATAACTCGACTTTATAATTGGTGTCATTATAGCAGATACATTTTTCATGCTTTGAGTTTAGGCAGGTTTTTCAGCCAATTTGCAATAAGGAGCAAGTTCCCGCACAGCTCTTTGTTCATTAAAACACAGAAGAATACTCCCTGATTTATTTTCGTGGTGAGCAACACGGCTGAGACTTAATTCTTGAGTAATGTCTACTGCTTATGCATGAAGCGCTGATAGAACATACTGCCTCCCCCTTTTATCCCCAGCGATTCCCCCTCTGCAAACATTGCACAGCAGCATTGCACCAAGCAAACAGCCCTTCTCCTGTACACGCTGCACTTCCCTCCTCAAAGTGTTTCAGCTGCGGTAAAGCAGCCACTTTCCATTTACAGTTCAGCTATCAGTGGTGTGACTCAGAAACGCGCTCAGATTCATGGAAACAAATCCACCTGACTTCACAGATGATATGAATGATACATTCTGGCAGGTAAAGGTGTGAAGCAGGGATGTGGAAACAGGAGCTGAAAGCAGTGAAGAACATCGAGTCAGCAAATCTCACAGCACATAAAGTATCTTCTGAAGCAGAAACAATGTGCGGGACTTCAGCAGAACTCCAACATGTGAAAACTGCACATCCTTTTAGATGCTGTTTGAATCTGTCAGCACATCATAAAAATCATTTTCCATCATATCATATTTCAACAAAACTAAGTCAAAGTGCAGAAAGTTGAATCTCAGGCCATTTAAAGCTTAGCTGAAGCAACAAATCTACAACGGAATGCCTGAAAAACAGAAGTTTCAAAGCTTTGAAATGGTCCAGGAAAGTCCAGACCATGCTCTGTTTGAAATCATGTGATGGGATTGTGAGAGGAAATAGTAGCAACATTAAAGAGAACATGCAGGGGACAAAGAATACCTCCACAATGATGTTAGAGACCAAGAGAATTAAAAAACAAAACAAAAAGATTACTTAACGTTGTTGTCCTTAAAGGTGGCTTGAATACATAATGCTACGTTTTACTGTGTATTGTTCTTTGTTTGAGGTTGTATCCAACTGAAATGGAGACCTGGTTGTCCTGCTATGTAACTTTTTGTGCCACCAGATGGGAGGTTACTGCATTGCTATCTTATCTTTGACTAGATACTATTTTATCACCATGATATCACTTCCAGTATGTTATTTTAAGGTTGTTTCCTGAATGGGCATGACTCATCTGACAGGTTAGCCAGTTTTATTTGACAACAACATGTGTTTTCTATGCAGTGTGTGCCCTTTATCTTCTTATGAGATGGAGGCAGCTCACAGGCTAACCTTATCCTAAGGAGTGAGAGTTTTAATTAAAATCTTTCTTTCACTCTGATACCAGCTATTATCTTTTTGTACACACACTTGAAGAATGCCCTTTCCTTTGATTGTGGGGAGAAAACGCACAGACACTACTCAGAGAAGTTAGAAAACACCCCAAAATATGTCAACACCCATTTCTCATGGTAGGAGGATTGATGGCCACAAAGTTACAAACCAATTTGAACAGAGTGAAGGAACAGAACAGCTTTTAAAAAGAACAGTAAAAACAAACAAAAGAAAAATAAGAAAAAGCAGTCACCTCACACTTTAACTTAAGTTAGAATGGATTTTGAATAAGTGCTAAGATGCCCTGAACATAACTCCATTTTCATTGGATAAAGAAATAAAATAGAAGAGTCCTACCCCATGCAGTTTCAAGGCCACGTAAGGTTTCTCAAACTATGCCGTTGTTAGAGGATCAAATATGTGGAAACTTTAGACAACAACGTCTCTCATAATTTCTTGGCCACACAGCAGAGGAATGTCCAGAGAAAATTGTGCTAATGCTCTTCCAATCCACCTCACTTGCACTTTGTACTCATCGGCTGACATCAGTCTTTTACTAAACTAATGAGGTATGATAGTAAATGTCTTGCAAAACATGACTTGCATCTAAGGCCTCTTAAAACCTGGTGACAATCAAGATTAGCTGTGCAGCACCAGCTCCTTCAAGTCCTTATCGTTCCACTTAATAGTGTGGATTGGTTTAGTGCATTCACAAGCTACTTCTCAGCTAATGAAACTAAACAGACCAGATTAAGGAAATTGCACATCTGGAACATTGAGGTTCCTGTGCTTTAGAACCCATTTCACTTGATTTGTGTCTCACTTCTGCTTTCCTGCAACCTCTGAATATTCAGTAATACGGCCTGGGACGTTGTGCATTCAGTTTTATTTATCATGACTTGTCAAGGATAGTCATAATATATGATATCTTTCTTATTTTGCAGCTTTCATTCTTGGTGTTAGCTTGAAGTTAAAGAAAGAATTCAACATTATGATTAATTCTTGTTGACAGATCCCAAGGTGAATAAAATCGTATAGATCTGGAATCCGACTTCAGTATGAGTTTTTCAGATGAAGAATGAGTAGGTGTGTGCGTGTGTGTGTTTGTGTGCGTGCTTGTGTGTGTGTGTGTGATTTTGTCTTCCCATCACCCTTGAGCATTATATCATTAACTCAGATGGTTTTAGTAAATCCTAAGATTCCTAAGGGTTCTTTGAGGAGAGAAAGCACAAAGAACACAATTTACAGAAGGGTAGACCTGAATAAATTATGAATGAGCTGGAGCAGGCCAATAAATTATGGAAACTGTAAAAACATTTATTTCAGAGGAATGACGGTCATTAGGTTAAGTAATGTCGTTGTGCATGATAAATTCTAAAAGGGTGGCACCCTCGCAGAATCATATAACTTATTTCCTGTAATTCTGTGATATTGTCTCATTCATAGATAGATCCAGACTGCATTGTGACTCTTAGCTCAGAAGACTGAAAAAGACTTTTTTAGAAAAGAATGGTGTGATTTGAATAAAAAGGGTATCAAAATTAAATCTTAACAGTGAGTAGCAGCCAACTGTTAAAATCCTTCCAAAGCCACATCCAGAAATACATTTCCGCATCTTTGCAGGTGCCTCTTTTCTTTCCTGTTCCTGCAGAGAATGGCAATTCCCCCCCGCCCCCCAAGTCAGGATGCCTGCGGCTTCTCTACAGAGGTATATAACTCCAGCAGCACTCTTTCTGCAGGATCAGCTCATTTTTTTATGTGGTGGGCAGGCTACTGAAATGTGTTAATGAAACCACACAGTCATGGATGACACCCGTCTCACCCGTCTTATGGACAGAGACACAGTATTAATGTTGCAAATACTGCCATAATTAATTTGGTTTAAAGACGTATTGAAGCTACCAGAGTATTGCTTGTCATTGATTACGGTTTGGCTGTTAATACAACTCATCTTTAATTCAGAAACTCGGATTCCCCAAAAACAGTCCATCTCAGATCTTTGCTTCCAACTGCTCTGCTTAGTTCACTTTACTCCACAGGCTGACGGATCTCTGTTATATTTATTTTCAAAAAGTGTTTCTGTTTAATTGTACTTCATTCAAGGCCAAGTCAGAAAATGTTTGTACTGTTAAGGGAGCTTTGTCATTTAAATCATTATTCATTATTATCATTAATTATTAATTACCAATATGTTTGATCTCACTGTTGCCCTTTCGAGCGTCAAAATGAAGATGGCAGATCCTAAAGATGAAGGCATGTGGTGTCTTCTGGTGGAAAACATTCTGGTTTCTGACTTTTTAAGGAAGACTGAATTCTTTCTTGTCTCTGTCTTGTTTAGTCAGAGAGGAGACATTTAAAGGATACATTTGCAGTGAAATGTATATTCTTCCTCACTATTCTAACTACTTGGACAGGTCAGGACAGGTTATCCATCTGAGTTCGATTCAATGTCAAAGCTAACTTAAAACACTTTTTTTATGCAGCCTCTCCTTGTCTTTGTTTTTTCTCATCCATTGCTCAGAAATTTTGCATACCAGGCATTTGAGGAGTGCCCTGGGGCATCTTTACCTCTGTGACTTTCACCTCATTGGTTAAATTGACACTGATGTTAAGTATTCCTCACATGAGTGATAGCATTAAATGGTTTGACGACAGCTATGAGGGAGAAATTAGATTATATTGTCGAAATTCTCAGTGGGGTTCAAAGGTTTACAGGTGGTCAATATGTGTAACAGATTTAAATGTTACACTGACCTCAGACCAGGCCTTTAGGGGTACTTGATGACATCTAGACACGGATTTTGGTTTGACAGATGACCTTTATCCTAGATTTAAACAGATAATTCTATTTTGCCAGCTACTACCCATTTTTACGTGTTATAAGACTTAACACAGCTTTTGATTCATACTATTCAGATAGTGCTATGCAGTGCTTCAGCACGCAGACATTTTATAACGATGGCTTTTTTGATGCACATTACATCAAGCAAGAACAAAAAAACTTTGTCTTTTACATCCATGTCATCAACGCCCCTCAGTTATTGCAAAACCAAATGGTGATGCAAAATGGTTGTTAACATTTGCCGTGAACTTTAACAGCATGCTCCTACTTTTTATTCATTTACTTCCTTTTTTTCATCCTGTCTGAGAGACAAGACAAATCTTCAGCGTAAAAGACGGACAGAACCAGACAGTAATGACACATCAACCGGATATTAGCTAAAGTAAATGCACCTGACCATCGCACTCAGTCCACAGGCTGTTTTTGGATTGCCATCAAAGAGTCCGTAGCTGGGAGCTGAACACAAAGCCTGTCCCCACCAAAGATCAAAGCCCAGCCGAGGCTTTTATGCAACACTTTCATTGTGATCAGTGTGAGCGACCTTCCTCTTGTTCATGTATGTAAATGGCCGTGATGAAAGGGTCTGTGTTGCTGCATAGTGGGGCCGGTCTGAGTCCACACTATCTGAACACACTCAGATCCCCTCTCAGATCCCCTCTTTGCTGCCTGTGAGCTCCTGCTGTATATCTTCATGGCCCACTAAAATTTTAATCAGAAGCAGAGGGAGAGCTGCAAAGGCACAAAAGGACAAACACAGCATCACACGTGAATGCACACATTCGCGGACAAACTTACATTGTTCAGAACAAGGGAGGTGTGCAATTTAGTGGTTCAGCGCTTTTGATACCTTGTCGCTGTGGAAGTGAATGCCAGACACGACTTCCTCTCCAGGGAGGGTCGAGCAAACTGCAGAGCTCCGTTGCCTTGCTGCTGTTCAGAGAACACAAAGCTTGTAAAACTGAAAGTAGTTTTGCTATGAATCACACAAAAGACTGGGGCAACTGATGGATTTGGATGAGTGTGAATTGCTTGGATGCACAATACACCATCTGACATTACAGTTTTATGCTCTGACCAGTTATTATTTCAGCCTAGTGGACCCTGCATGCCGTAAACAATCAGCACACAGCGATGCAGGCATGAGAATCTCAGACAGATTTATGCCACACTGTTTTTTTATTTTGCTTACAGCTTCTGCAGTTTCTGGCCCCGTGGTTTTCGAGACGTGATTGTATCTGTACCTGGTCAAACATAAAGGTCACAGTTGTTTCCACAACTCACTCATTGCACAACTTTTAGGACACAAATTCCAACATATAGATTGAGGGGTTTCCCTCTTGCTCAGTCTGTACTGCTATCTCTTTTTTTATTTTTGTCTTTTTGAAAAATTGAGAAATGTGTGCACCGAGGGATAGCATCTACCCCAGAGGGCAACACGTAAAGCAGACATGTGAAGTGTAAAAAAAAACGCCAGCAGTTGTCTGTTTGAATGTTCTGAGCCACCCTGAGTTGTGGCCACTACATACAAGATCTGTCTCTGCTCATGTCAGCTCATCCTAATTCAGGGTTCATTACAAATATAAGCAAGAGCAGTAGCTGTCATACGTTATAATGCTATTCGCACACAGCCTGGTTTAAAAGTTTGATAACCAGATTCTGTACTGTTTACTCTATTGGCTAAATTGGTCAATAGAAGAAGTTGGCCTTTTGTCTAAATAATTTTGTTTTATTATCCTAGATAATAGGATTACTGCTACAGCTTGTTCTAGTACTGTGTCACTGAAAACAGCTGGGGGAAAAAAAAGCTTTATATCTCATATATTCAACCAACTTGAAGATTAATTAGAACCTCTGATACAATTCGGGATCTATTAATTAGTTTCCATCAGCTGGTGCCACAGCTCTCCAGCTTCTATAAGGTACCAGACGAGGTACACTCAAGGCAGAATGAATTCATGCAGCATAATTTAGACAAAACTCTGACTCATGCTAATCTGGCTAATTTAGCACATTAGTTTACATCTAAGTGGGATGTGGGGTAACAGTGTGGCCGAAAAATCATTAGGAATTACATAACCTCTTCAATTGTGCACAGAGCTCTCCTAAAACACAAAAAAAAACATTTATTTGCAATCTAATAAAACAGGACAACTAAATGCAGGAAACTGTGATAGTTATGATCAGACCAAAAACACCAGACTGACCTCAAACATGGAGGACTCAAACTAGTTATTTGAGCCTTTATTCAGCAAACACAAAGACAATGACATTTTGAGTCTTCTGAGCTCAATAGTTAGGTAGAATTGTATTTTTAACATTGTGTGAAAACACACTTAATTTCCCAGAGATTTTGATATCATTTACATGCAAAGGATTGTAATCATTGTAGTCGTCACACAGCCATTCAAGCAAATTTCAGCTTTTCATGTCTATTCAAAATCCCCAAATAATCACTAATGATAGCAACACACATTGAACTTATTCATGCCATGGACACTGCTGCACCCCCATATCATCACAGATTCCATCTTTTGTACC